GAGTGGAGCATGAAGAGTTTGCCTGTGAGAGACTCGACTTCCTTTGGGACTTAATTAGTTGCTCTGCGCTTTTGAATGCACGACACTCTCTGTGGTGTGACCAGTGAGAATGCGCCTCGTAAGGCTTGATGTCTCTTAATCCAGGAGGGTTGACCTTGTCAATCACTTACGCAGTTTCCTTTACACACTTTGAGCATGAGTCCAGAAGAATGTAGTCCTCACAAGTCCGTGGAATGAATGACTGGATGACCAGTTCACCACTGAGGAGGTTGAGGGGCTCCAAGTTCAAGGCGATACATAATGACTCAGATCTGGCATTTGAATCTAACTCTTTCCCCTAGAAACTTTCTCTTATTTCCTGCTGCGTCTTACAATGCCTGTTCCTGAGTGAAGGGAGATCACCGATCCTGTTCTAGAATGATCTTAAAGAATGTTGTCTCCGCACTGCCTCGCCCAGCATGTATTGATCGTTTATGTGCCAAAGCACTATGGCGGCACAGGAGCTGCAGGGCAAACTGGACAGAAAGAGGATGTTGCCGTGGGGCTTTCTAAGCCAGTAGGGGAGGAAAGCTGGTGTGCCTTTAATTGCATGACTAAATAATTGAAAAGTACGAGAACAGGGGGAAACACACAAGGGCCCCTCCTTCACAGAGGGCAGCCTGAGGTGGCTTTCTCAAGGTCACAGTTAAGCTGAGCCTGACAGATGAAAAGGGGCCTGACGTGCAAATCGAGGTGAAGAAGAGCTTTTTGCGCCATGTGCCATGCGTGGACTCTGAGGCAGGAACACATGTGTTTGACTTGACAAGAACAGCAGGTAGGGGATGGAGAAGGAATGGAGGAGGAGAGAAGGGCCGGGTCTGCAATTGGAGACCTCGAAGCGGAAGGCAGGACAGCGCTTTAAAAGGCTCCGCACTGTGCCGTGGGACCTGGCAGTCACTGCTTCAGCCACCTGGTCAGACTTAACACCGAAACATCGCAAATCATGTCTCCTGATGCCAGGCACGAAGGGCACAGAACTGCTGCTGGAGTACCCCATGGCCCCAGGGTAATCACTTGCGAGCAAATCAAATTCAGGGACATTCTTCAAAATAACCGTTCTTTTCTCCTCACAGACAACGGAAGGAAGGCTGGTGAGTGGTTCTGGCTCAAAGGACACTCAAGAAGCTTGCAAACTAAGTGCGATGTTTGATGCTAGACAGCATCCTGGACTGGGGAAAATAAAAAGGGCTTTATCGGGACAACGGGTGATATTTGTGGAGTAGGAGGTGGCATTGTCACTGTGCTCAGTGCCTTTGCTGTGGCTCGGGCGCTTGTTCCTTAGCAAGCACGCGGGGAGGGATTTCTGGGTTTGGAGGCAGAAGTTGGGTCGGGATTGCAGACCGTAGATGGCTTTGCTTTCTGACGCCTCGTTTCATGTAGTTGTGTCTTCTTCACTGCCTTTCATTACTGTCTTATCTTTTTAAATGGATCGATCTGTCACTTCCTTGGTTTAATGTATTCCTAAGCCTTTTATTGTTTTTAATGCAATTAGAAATGGAATTGTTTTCTTAATTTCTTTTTCTGATGCACGTGTTGTCTTTTCAATGTTTTAGGTAGTGGTGATGCCTGCCTGTAGTTTGTTCATTTAGGAAGGCCTTGCTTGCTGTTCAGAAGGAAAACTTGCAGGAAGTATTCTTTGTTGACATTCTCTCCCATCCCCTCCTCCCCCACCCCGCAACACTTTCAGTACATTGGCCCACTCTCTCTTTACTGCAAGGTTTCTGCTGAGAAATGCACTGATAGCTTTATAGGGTCTCCTCATATGAGAGAAAAAATGTGAACTTCTCTGTTTGTCTACATCCCCGTTTGGTGACAATTTTATTTCAGTGCATCCTGGAGAAAATTGTTTGGGTTCAAAACTATGCTGTGGTCCTCCCTGGTGGCACAACGTGTTAAGGTGCAGCACTTTAAGCTGGCAGCAGCCACTTCAGTGTGAGTTCTATCCCCAGCCCCAGAGGTGACCCACATGGCGCGGCAGACCTCTCCTGTCTTGCCCGCTGCTCCCCTCAGCAGTGTATTTCTTCCATCTGCCTGTTCAGCTCCCCGCTCTGTCTCTGATGAAGCCTCTCACCGCCCCTGCACCTCTGGCCTGCACCCCAGTTCTGTCTGCATAAATAAATAAATCTTTGGAAAAAAAAAGAAACTCTGGGGGTAATCTCATTAGGTTCATGAACTTCCATGCCCAGATGTCATCACAGGTTTGCAAAACTTATTTCTGCCTGCTCTCTGCCCTGAGAGCCAGTCATGTGGAGATGGTTTCCCAGCGGCCTTGTGCCTGGGCCCTGCTTCGTTTCTCCTCACTTTTGCTCCTCTCACTGCATAATTGCAAATGATCTTTCTTGAGCTCATTGTTTTGTTTTTACTGCTCGGTACCCTCTAATGTTGAAGTTCTGTAGTGAAGTTTTTAGTCATTTCATTCTTTAGCTCCAACCTTTGTTTTTAAAAATGTTTTCTATTCTGTTGAATTCATTTCGTTCTTATTTTTCCCGACTTCCTTATTTATCTGTAGCTCTCTGAGCAGTTTACAGTAGCTACATTATATTCTTTTGGGGGCACTCCTCTACCTGCATTACTCAGGGCTTGGCCACTGGCAGTTTCTGCGTTTAGTGTGGTCTGTTTCCTTGATTTTTTTGTGACCTGTCACCCTGCATGGTGTCTGTGTCCATCTGAAGAAGTGGCGGGCTCTCCAGACGTGATGGACACACTGTGGCTAGACTCAGCTGTGGGCCGGGTGTCTGTGGGCCGGGTGTCTGTGGGCCGGGTGTCTGGGGGTTGGGTGCCTGCGGAGCTGCAGCAGCCCGATGCCAGGCTCCGTGGCACCTCTGGGGCCAACACAGTGTGCTGTTTCCCGGGCCCAGGTGGTGGGGTGCAGCCTCGGCAGGTAGCTGGTCCTATGGAGGCCATGGCTTGCAGAGTCTGTCTCTGGCGGGCTGAGCCCCGAGTGGTGGCACGAATGGCGCTAGCCGCTGATGCGCCAGACTAAGCCCCAGGGCTGCCTTGCAGATGCAAATTAGTGGTGTGTGGCCAGGATGGGGCGCAGCGAGGTTGGCTGTGAGGACCCCGACCGGGCAGGTGCTCAGGCACCGCGCAGGGAGCAATGCAGGTTGATGGTGGCATCAGGGCACAGCGCAGGTGGTCAGCGGCAGGGGCTGGCCGCTGGCGCGCAGGGGCCAGGCTAGGGGCAGGAGAGGCCCGGAGCCAGGCTCTGAGCAGCTGTGCAGGCGCTGAGTTGCGGCGTTTCCCTTCGACGTCAGGGTCCTGAAGTCTCCTGAGCTGCTTCGGTGCTTGGGCCGCGCCTGTGGTGTGTGTTTCGTGGTAAGAAGCCGGCGCCACGCTCTTGGTGTTGTCTTCCAAGGCCTTCAGCTGCAGGTGCAGTGCGCCCCATGCCACGTTCTGATTTTCTGTTTTGACTTGAATCAGTTTCGGTCAATTGTATTTTCGTAGTAATTAGTAGATTTAGTTAGTTTTTCGAATTAGTGGTGTAAAGTGCTGAATAGTGTCTGCAGATGCTGTTCACTATCTCTAGGATGTTTAGCCATGGCCCCGTTTTCCATTCCAGACTTGGTCCTTGAAAAGTTCTATCAGTTTTGTTTTTCTCTTTTTTTATTTTTTAAAGATTTATTTATTTACACATACAGAACTGGGGTACAGGCCAGAGGCTCAGGGGGTAATAGGATTCCCCAGAGTCAGAATGGGGAGTAGAACAGCAGACTGAGTGAGACACTGCTGAGGGGATCATTAGGGAGACAGGAGAGGTCTGCTGCCCCCCCCGGGGGGGGAGGGTCACTCCCTGGCCGGGGATCGAACTTGAGCTGAAGTGGCTCACGTGGTGCCAGCGTGCAGTGTTGCACACAACTCGTGGTGGCAGCAGGGAGGGCTCAGTTTTGTTCTTTTCTTTTTTTTTTTAAGATTTATTTATGCATACAGTACTGGGGTCTAAGCCATAGGTGCAGGAGCAGTGAGAAGATTCACCAGAGACAGAGCAAGGGGAAGGACAGACAGACAGATGAAGTCCACTGCTGAGGGGAGCAGCTGGTGGGTCAGGAGAGGTCTGCTGCCCTGTGGGTCACCTCCGGGGCAGGCGGGAATCAAACTCACACTGACACGGCTGTGCTAGCTTGCAGTGCTGTGTCCTAACCCGTTGCGCCACCTGGGGAGGGGGGCAGTTTTGTTATTTTCAAAGAAGCAGTGTTCCGAGCTGCTGAACTGCCTCACTTTCCACATGGGTTGTCAGTGCTGTTCATGCTCCGAGCCCTTCCGACATCGCCTCGTTCTGTCAGTTACGGAGAAGATGGATTAAACCCCACTAGGATGGGGTATTTTTCTATTTCTTATTGTGGGTTTGTCTAATTTTTCTTCGCCTCAAATCTTACCTCATACCTTTTCAGGCAATTTTCGGTGCATACAAATTTAGAATTGTTACTATCTTCCGACTAAATGGAATCTTTTATCGTTCTGAAGTGTCTCTCTTTATTGCTAATAATGATTTCTGACTTGATGTCTACTTTGATATTGATTCAGCTGCACCAGCTTTCTTTGATTAATATTTGATTAGTGTATCTTTTCTATCTCTTCATTTTTGGCCCTTTTGAATCCTTAAATTTTAGATGTGTGTCTCGTATGTAACAATATCTGCACATTTAGTGTGAGACTATTTGTCTTTAATTAGAGTATATAGTGAACTTTATCTCGTAGTGGTGTATTTGGCTATAAATACACATTATTCTAGAATGTTTTTTTAATTCTGACTTTTTTTTAAGTTTACTAGGCAAGGGACTGTTGAAAGTAAGGAGACAGGATGATGGTGCCGGATAGACAAGAGAGCCTTTCAGGGTCTAGAAGAATTGTGTGGCTTGATACTGTGATGAATGTGTATGTGATAAACACAGGCCCACAGAGGTTGTTTGGGCCTGAGATGTGGTTAACTTTTGTCGGTGTTAACACGTTTTCATTCCCTTAAGGTAACTCTCAAGCCACTGTACATTTAAGGTGGTTGCCAACGAGAGCCACTTTGGAAAGGTCAGCCCGCAGGGTAGAAGGTCAGAAGGCGACAAGACTGGCACTCCGGAGAGCAGCGCGCACAGCCTTGGGCGTGAGGTAGGTGCTTGTAGAAACTGGCGCGCAAAGAGGCCGTAGCGGTGGTGAGGCGAGCTCACAGCAGCTTGTCCCGAGCTTGCGGCAGAGCAGTAGAGAGACACGGTCTTGAAGGGGCCGAGGGCCCTGGGCTGGGGGGCGGGAGCCCTTCCGGTGGGCTGCTAGAAGGGCGTGGCCTGGCGGGAAGAACGCGCAAGCCCGAAAAGTAACTTCAGCTGGTAGTTGAAAAAGAAAAAAAGATACAGTGGCATCTTTCCTCCTATCACACTTCTCATGGGTCAGACTTTCTTTCCCCAGTACTTCAGCAGTTGGCTTGTAAATGGATGTGCTCGGTCTCTGTTCGGGGTTTTGAAGGCCAACATCTTGTTGATTTAGTGTGGACTTGTCTGCGTGGAGGTTGACTAGATTCCTGTTGTGATGTGCGAAGCACACGCTTTGCCGAGTCGCATCTTTGTTAGCTTCGGGGCCTACTCACTCCCTGTGCCACCAGGAACGCTTTGCTTCTGAGGCCACTGTGCGGCTTCCCTCTAACTGGACTCATGAGCTCTTTCAGGGCAGCGAGCACCAACCCTCTCCATCTTTCTTTCCACAGCAGGTAATTTTTACACTCGACTTACGAGCTTCCGCACCTGAAGAGTGTTCCGCATTCGGGCTGGCGACCTGCAGCCTTGCGGTTCGCGTGGGGGCACGCAGCTTGGCCTGTTTGCGTTTGCCAGGTGGCTACTCACGAGCCCTGAGGAAGAGCCCTGATTTCCTCATCGGCTGTAAATTGCGCCTTTGTCCTGCACCAAATTCCACCCTACACCCAGCTCTGCCAGGGACCCTCTGCTTCACAGATTCTTTTTCTATTTTTACCTCAGTACTAACCTTTAATTGCCTTTTTATTTGCTTTTTAATAAGTATCCTGTAGATGAGGAGTGAGCCCACAGGGTACACAGCAGCACGGTGGATAGTCAATCTCCTGATTCTTCACCCAAACAGCCACCGCGTCCCCTCCCAGGAGGCAACAGCCGCTATGGTTCTGGTACAGGCTCGCCTCACAGAGTGTGCCAGCATCACAGGATTTCCTTCGGTGGTGGTATGTTTTGTCCTTCATTAGGGCCAGTGAGAGGTCACAGGTGTTTCCTCGTAAGCTTGAAAACGGACTAGACAAATTTTATTTAAAGAAAAGTGTGCTGGATTTTTATTTAAGTAACACTGGAATCATCTTGCACAGGCCACTTGGCCCCTCACTCGGCTTCTCACAGCCCCCCCTCCCACCCTGGTATTCTCAATTTTATAGTCCGACTTCCAGGATTTCTCCCCATTATTTCTTTGAATGATTGCCCCTTTCTCTCTCCCTCCCCCTCTGGAATAGCCATTACACTTACATTGTCTTTCCTAGTGCAAGTGGCTATTTCTCAGTGTTTCTTCATTTCTTTCCTTCAAATTTGTTCACCCAGCTGGCTCCTTCGTGCCCCAGCATCATCGAGCTCACTGGCTTCTCTTCCACGTGGCCTGTCCTGCCTCCACAGCTCCCTCGCCCTGCTCTGTGGTGGTTTGCTTGTTTTCTAGGTTAGCTTTCCCCAACTGTATCTAACTGTAGCTGATTGGCCCTTCTGGCCTGCCATAAGGGAGGAGGCGCTCATCTTGCAGCTGCAGAGTCGGGCGGGAGAGGATGCTGGGGTGTTCACTCACCTGGAGGGTGGGCCGGCTCCTGTCCGTGGCGTCCTGCCCTGCCAGTCCCTAATGTCTGAGGTCTGTTTTTGCGCTTGCTTCACAGGGTCGGGGCCCCTCCTGAGGGGTGAGGGAGGTGAGCTGAGCCAAGAGCACTGACCTGGCTCCTTTCACTGGGGACACAGCCCACTGGGAGCGCCCTAATTCTCTGCACATCTTTCTCCTCAGGCAAAAGCAGTGCTAGGTGTAGGTGGCTTCTTTCACGCAACACGCTATTTTTGAGGTTCATTCACGTGGCATTAGCTATAGCTCATTAGTCTGCAGTGTCCTGTAGCACTCCATTCTCTAAATAAGCACCTTTTCTACTGTGGATGGGAATTTGTTTGTGTCTAGTTTTCTGTCTTGAATAATGTTTCCCTAAAACATTTATGTACTTCTTGGGGGTGAACACATGTATTCTTGTTTGTAGAACAAGGATTAGAGTTGCTGCATTAGAGGGCCCTTATGTCGGTGTATTAGAAGCAGTCAGGGACTTTCCAGAGTTTTTGCAGCAGCTTACATGCCCGCCAGCAGAGTGCAAGACTCCACTCGTCATCCTTCCTGTACTTAGGACCTTCCGTAGTACTTGGTCAGTTCAGTTTGTTTTGGCATTCATGGTCATCTAGTTTTGCATTTCTTCCCGTGATGCTTTATGAACTTGACCATGGTCTCATAAGCTGTCGGCCATTTGAATAGACCTCTTGGAATTGTATCACAGTTACATTGAATTTATTGTTGTTCAATGTGGGGAAAATTGTTGTTTTTACAAAGTGGAGTCTTGGTCTTCCTAGCCACGAACATGTCTACCTGGCAACTCATGTAGGTTTTGTTTTTCCCTCAATATTTGTTTGTGGATTATTGCACTTGGAACTTGCATAGATTTCTTTTTACCTATTCTTTGACACTGAGTATTATTTAATACTAATTTTAAGTAAATAGTATAAATTTTAAAATAGATATCATTTTTTATATGTTATTTTAGTGTTATTTAAATGTATCTTTTAAACTTTTATTTCCTAAATTTTTATACAGAACTGGGGTACAGGCCAGAGATGTGGAGGGTGAGAGGATTCACCAGGGACAGAGTGGGGAGCAGAACAGGCAGGTCGATGGAAGTACACTGCTGAGGGGAGCAGCGGGCGGGTCAGGAGAGGTCTGCCGCGCCATGTGGATCTCCTCTGGGGAAGGCGGGGATTGAACTCATGCAGAGGTGGCTTCAGCTTCTTAGTGCAGTGCTTTAACCTGCTGCGCCACCAGGGAGGGCCCTTTTTCCTAAATATTCTTGAAGTTATGTAGAAATGTTAGATTCAGAACACTGATCTTGTAGTCACAGGTAGTGCAGAATCCATTATTAGCCCGTTAATATTTTATAAATAGTACTAATTTATTTGGAGTTCTATGAACTCCTCAAATAATTTTCACTTCCCTTCTTTATTTCATATGTTTATATATCTTTCTCTTGCTTTCCAGCATAATGCTAAAGTGAGACCATAGACATCTTCTACTTTATTCTTGATTGGGGGGAAATTTTCATCATGCACCATCATATATGCTTTCTGCTGTAGGTTCTTTGCACAAACTCTTCAATAGATGAGGGAAGTTTCTATTTTGGGTTTGTGAAGATTTCTTAAAGCTCGTGAATGAGTGTTTAATTTTTTCCCCAACTTCATTGAGGTATAACCGACACATTATGTAAGTTTAAGGTGTGCAGAATGATAACCCCACACGTATATCGAGAAACGATCACCACAATAAGGTTAGTTAATTCATGAATGGATGCTGAATTTTAACAGATTTTTTCCTGCATCTTTTGATTTATTCACGTTTTTCTCCCTTGTTCTGTTAATGTGCTGAACTACATTGGTTGATTTTCAAGTGTTAAAACAACATTGTATCCTTGGCAGTTATTTTCCTAGCAGGAAGGGATATGTATAATTGCGTGTGTGTGTCTGCATTTTAGAATTTTTGCATCTTTTTTTTTGTAAGTGACACTGACCTTCCATTTTCCTTTGTCAGGTTTGAATGTAAAGTTAGATTAGCTTCAAAATGAATTGAGATGTAATTTTTTTTTAGACTCTGGAAAAGATTATATAAGACTGATGCTATTTATCCCTTAAATGTTTAGGAGAATTCACTGGTAATGCCATCTGGCCCTCAAGTTTTCTTTTGCAGAAAAGTATTTATAAATTCAATTTCTTTAAGAGCTATAGGAATATCCAGAATTTTCTTTATCTTCTTTTACCAATTTTAAGCATTCTTCTGAGTTTCCATATTTATTGGTTTAACTCCCTGTCTTTTTAATGTATTGGCTCTGTTATGTTACACTCCCATTCTTAACACTGGTTCTTTCTGTTGTTATTGTTATTCTTCAGTCTTTAGTGAGTTTTTATTTTCATTGGTTCTTTTACACAACAATATTTTGGCTTTGCTGGACCTCCTTTTAAAAAAAAAAAAAGATTTATTTATTTATGCTCACAGAACAGGGGTACAGGCCAGAAGTGCAGGGGCGGTGAGAGGCTTCACCAGAGACAGAGCAGGGAGCAGAACAGGCCGACTGATGAAGGGCACTGCCTTTCAGCCCAACTCAGTCACCTGGGAAGGTTAAAGGTCTCTGAAAACCTGGACGTGACCTGGCATACCTGGCCGTGTAGTGAGGTTGTGTGGAAAGAGAGCACGTGGACCTGGGGCTCTCGGGTTTTGTGGTTTCACAACTGGTGAATTTCAAGCGTAGGAGTGGGACTCTAAAGTGGGGAGAGAGAGAGAGAGAAAAGAAAAAGGATAATATGCAAGGACCCACGTGGCCAGTTAGCAAGCTGAGCAGGGCAGGTAGGTTTAGTAGACAGGGAGATCTCAAAACTGAACTCAGCAACTGCATTATGAAAGAAAAGCCAGCTGCCAGGCTTGCCCCAGCCCGGCTTTCCCGATCATTCGCATCTGGCCTTTGGTGGGCGGCTTTGCTTGCAACTGAGAAGATGCTGAGCTCACTGTGCCCACAGTTCTGTGGGTTTTGCAGATGCCACTGTCACGTATTCACCGTCACACTGCCATGCACAGTGTTTCTGTTCCTCAGAAATCCCCCGTGCGCCTCGTTGGTCTTCCCTCACGGGTGTTCACCGCGATCACATAAGTGCCTTTCACGTCTCACGCCTCTCACGCGGAGGTGCAGGTAGAGCCTCCTCAGGACGGCTCTCTAACTGAGCAGCACACACTGGCGGTCACTGTGTTTGCTTCCGGCCTGACGCGTCACTTCACTTTATGGCCGACGATGCTGGTGGCCTGTCTTCTGCTCCCTGTCTTCTGACGTCTGG